ATACCGAAAATTTACGGTATGGTAAAGGTATGAGATAAAATATTCGGTATACCGTACCGAACCACCCCTAGGCAGTACTATGTATTTTTTACATTTGTATATTAGAACATTTCATTTTTCTAACTTTATTTTGGTATGTCTCTAAACTAGTTCTGCATTTTATGTTTCTAAAATTTTCATAATTGTTTTATTTATATTTATTTATTGTCTTTACAAGTATAATGAGGTGAGAATTCGAGTAGTAAGTATTAATTTTATTCCTACATAACATTTTATTTATATTAAAGGTGGAGTTAATAAACGTTTTATTAAGACAATAATTTTTTTACTTCTTTTGACATCAAATATATTTCTACATGATTTTTCACCATGCTCATTAGAAAACAATCTTTACTGTTACCTTGTCATGGTGAAAAAACAATTTTTCACCATGCTCTCATCATGTTAATGTGGAGTTTGTGGAAGCACAAGAATGAGGTTGTTTGGAAGGGTCGCTCGGTGTCATGTGGAGGTGTATGGAATGTTAAATCAGGAGGATAAAAGTATTATAATATAAGGCTATAAAATATGGCTGAAGCGGATATCACTTCTAGTCACGTATAAAATACGCTTTCCTAAAAGTTTACTATCCACTCTTATCACAGTAACCGGGTTGCAAGATAGAACTTTTGGGATAAAAAGAAGGTGTACAGTGTATTTTGGCTACTGACAAAATAACACTAAAAAAGTGATATGTATATAAAGTGGTCTAAACACTTTATTATTAATACTGCAGATTAAAATAATACAGCAAGGCAATTTGAGAATTTGACAAAATGAATTTTTTGTCGTAATTCTCAATTCTGCATGATCCTTTATTTATACACAAATGTGACTCTTTGAAAAGAAACGAATTTTCATTTCAAAACGAACCATTGGTCGTCAGAATTGCGATCAAGTCATCTTGAAAAGCAAACAGGTGTGATCCTTCAAAAAGGCATTTACATTGGGTTAAAATCATTTCCATTAAATTTAATTTCATAATTGCAATCCAACAAGTAGTGCACACAAAGTAGTAAGTGATACAAATTGCCACTTTCAAAATTAACATTCAATACTCCGTATTATAAATGAGCACAAAAGTGCTGAGTGCAAACGTAATTTCTTAAATAAGCAACATTAATAGGGAGTAATAACTAAGTTACCTTTAACACCATTTAAATAAAATACCACACTTTTATTATTGAACTTTTAAGGACCATGCAAAATAATACTCCAATAGGGAACCTGTCAGTAGCAATGTTAGAGGGCAGCCCATGACCTGTCTTTGAAGGTAGGACTGAGTATGATTGAAAGCAAATGGGAGCATAAACAGCAACCTTAGCTTGTTGGATCAAGATAAATGTACGTAGATGCGGCCATAGACAACCGGAGAGTGTGGGGCTGTTTTATTGGCGCTAGGAATAAATCTGTCCTTGGACCCCCTTCGAGACAAAGGCGTGAGGTGTAACAGAGACATTTATTTGGGCTCGGGGTCAATGGATGGGAGCGTGTTATTGTGGAGTCGGACGTTGCACTAGTTGTTTCGGGTAGAGCTGTCAAACGGGCCAACCCGCCCCGACCCGCCCCGACCCGCGGCGGGTTATGAGTTTCACGGGTCGGGGCGGGCCAACCTGCTTACTATCGTGCCAGAATTTTTATGACCCTAACCCGACCCACCTAACCCACGGGTTATGCGGGCCAGCCCGCGGGCCATAAATGTCAAAACAAAAAAAAACAATTAAATATCTAAATTAAAATCCCAACACAATTGAAATAGCAATTAAATATCTAAATTAAAATCCAAACACAATTAAAAAGGAAAAAACTAGTGCTTGAAAATCCTTTGGTTGTATGTTTGAATGTATCATCGTGGGTAACTGGTATACTTAAAAAGTTAAATGATTAAATACTTAAAAGCTTTAATGTATTATCGTGGGTATAGTTAAGCTGAAATACCGCAAATACCTAATTTCTCATTTATTTAGTCTGATTTGGATATCATGAATAAAGCAGCATAGAAGTCCTTATGTTATAAAACAGTATAACAACGAATACATTAAAAATAAATTATTTAGTCTGATTTGGATATCATGAACAAAATACATTAGTATTAAAAGTGAGGAAAGAACTAGAAGTAAAGAGAGTATAATAGAAGATATAATTGTCCTATATAGAAATAATAGAAGGGAAAGTAACTTTAAATAATACCAATTATCTTCCATGAACCAACAAAAATACAAACTTGAGAAATAATTTTTAATAATACCAACTATTTGATTATCTATCAAAAGTGATATATAGCAAATTTTCACCAAAAATTCATTTATTCAATTCATCAAAAAATAATATCAAAATATCAAATAAGTGATCATATTTTCAAATATCAATTATTTGATGATTTGATCTTAGTTTTTGATGTCTTAAATGATTGAATTTCTTGTAGAAAAGTGTCTCTATTTTATTTTTGGTTCACATCCAGATAGTTGGTATTATTAAAAGTTATTTCTAAAGTACGTATTATTATTGATTTATCGAATATAGTTGGTATTATTTAAAGTTATTTTCTCATAATAGAATTAAAAATACATAGAATAAATGATATTTGTCCTCAGCCCGCGGGTTGGCCCGCAACCCGTACGGGTTGGCCCGCTAAACCCGCAACCCGTTAGGGTTGACCCACTGAGCCCGCAAAACAATCGGGCCTGAAAATGATAGCCCTAACCCACTTATAAGTGGGTTGAAACGGGCCAACCCGCGGGTTTCGGCCCGTTTTGACGGCTCTAGTTTCGGGAATTGAAAGAGACCCGGGACTTGCTTATGTGGAGTTGATCATTGATGACACAAGGGAAATGCTTCCGATAAGTGAGAATCTGAAGGTGACTTTCTGTAGGAGATCTGCGAATCGGGTTGCTGCTCTGGCCAGGGCGGCTGTTTCTTATGCAGATAGCAATAATGAGTTTAATTTTATGCCTGATTATATTGTAAGCATGGTGGCAAATGATGAGTTAAAGTAATAGAATTGTTGTTTTTCTCTCAAAAAATAATTGTTACCTTGTCAAATTTCGCACAAAAAAAGTTACCCAAGAATAAATACTTTTGATATCATCATTGTTATGAACCCTTAAAATATATTATTATAAAGTTTGTTATTATCAAACAAATAATGTCCGATTAAGCTAAATATAATTTTGCAGCTTTTAGTTATTACAAATTTCAGAATTGATAGTGTAATCATTTGTACATTTGTTTGGATCTAGTAACTAAACTCTTTTTTATTCACTAACGATGTATGGATAGTGCAACATTTGTACATTTGTATGGCTATTATTTTATTTTATTTAAACAAAAACCTTTCTTGTGTATATAGTCATATAAAACTAAATCTAATCAGTTATTAATATTTGTTACACACAAAAACAATTTAGAAACAAAATATATTTTAAAATAATTAAATAATAATTAATTAATTAATTACAATCCAACTTGTCTAGACCTAATTATGCCGGATTTGTACGTGATCAAAAGCTTCAAAAAGATTGCACCGATGATTGGACTGGAATTTGCTCACCCCTAAATGTACATGTTGTCAGTATTGATGTGTGAGCCTTTAACATCATTTAAAATAACGCTAGCAAATTTATTGTAGACTTTTTAAAAAGTAAGAAGTTTTGTATATTGTAGCAATATTGTGTACTCTATTAAAGTATACTATAGATGCTTACAAGATAGATTTATTTTCAAAAATAAAAAATGTAACAATTAATTTGATACGGTCCAAAAATTAATACGTGACACTCAGAATGACACAGGAGTAATAAATATCCAGTTTTGCATTTGGATTTTGGAAATACATTTAAAAAAATGAAGAAGAGACCACCAGGTTGTTCAGGTCTATGAGTCTATCTGAGGCCTAGGCTTATACAATATAGGAAAATTCTATATAGAACCACTCATTTACTAAGTACAGCCACAAGTATTTCTCAATTCCCAATATACCCTCTTTTACGTAACGTTGTGTTCCGTCCAAAGGTTACTCTAGTGTTGCGCAGCCGCTTGTCTTCTTCTGTGAACAACTCAGCGATTCATTTGATGGAGAATTGGATCGGGACTTGGCAAGTTGGCGCCTTCAAGAAACCTCACAGGCAATCTCGCCATCTTAGGGGTCCCTCAGTGAAGCCAAGCCGGTGCAAGATCCTTCGCTGGAAAATTCCCAGACCAGTTTGCACTTCCTCCTTCGCTGGGTATGTAGTTAGCTCGCCAACCGTCCAAGAGTTGCCAGAGCTCCCCAATCCCTGTGTCCCTTGATTCTGGTAGCTTCCGGCCATTTACTCACCGGTCATCGGCCGGCTGAGCCGCCGCCTACATTTTCCTTCGATGGAAATAATGGCCGGTTTAACTTTATCATTTTGGCTATTTATCTCATCGCCTCCGCGGTTTTCTAATTGAACAATCTGATATGTAGTGGGATAATCAGAAAGTGGCAACGAGTTTATTTTCTCAATGTATTATCATTGATATTTTCTCAATATATTATCATTGAACTTTGAATGATTTTCTGGATTATAGCATTACTATTTCGGTTGTGAAACTATGTCAGAGACTCAGAAAAGCCGATGATGATAGATGAAATCTGATGGTGTAAGGGCAATTTAGAAATTTAAATCAATTGTGGTTGTGAATAGCAATTTGGGGACTTTGAATAGAATCACCCTTATATTGGGAGCACTAGCTTATACATGGGTGTTTGGAACTGATTCTGCTTCTAATTTTTTTTAAAGCAGAAGCAGAACTAAAATCAGTTTTTAGAAGCTGGTTTCCCCTAACTTCTGAAAAAACTGATTCTAGGAGTAAATCGAAACATCAGAATCACTTCTTCACTTTCACTCAAACACTCAACTTCTACTTCTACTCCTTGAAGGAGCAGAAACAATTTTAAAAATCAGATCAATAGATTGAAATTTGGCCCGTAACCAAACCGGGCCACCACTCATAATCAGCATATTTTTTTCATGTCCCAGCATCAATAATCATTGTTTGGGATTGATGCGTCAGCGTTGATAGTCGGTTATTGTAATGATACTAGTTCAAAATGTCGACTTTACCCTGGGTAAAGATACTATAAGTACACTTAAACTAACAAGTAAAAAAGTTAAAACTGCGAGAATGCCACCCACATGCCTTCTCTAGATTGAACAACGTTTGCCTGTTGAAACAAGACAACACATGAGAGCCTGTTGACTACATTTATACCACGTCACAAATAAAGCCCCTTGAAACAACCATGTCCATGGGCTACTGTAGTATATAATATCCAAGAGAGAGACAGAAACAAACCATATCATCATATCATCATATATAGATACGATGCATAAACCAAATCAGTGAAATTCTAAGTATAACATTCTCAATCTCCAGAGCTATGAGAACCCTCGCTGGATGATGAGCTGTTGTCCCCTCTAAGGCGCTTCATCTCTTCATAAGCCCATTCAAGACCAGGACAATAGTGTACTGATGGGTTGAATCTGGTATCATTTATGTCATCCGGCAGAAAAGCACCGTTCCTAATCAGGAAATTGATTGCTTTCTTCTTTCGTTCTTTAGCAGCATGATGCAGAGGCGTCCCTGTATATTCATGACAGTTACAGCAAGTTGGGATCAAGGAAAATGCCATGTAAAGGGATAAAAATGTCAGCAAAAGGTGCTTTTCTTACCGGCGGTTACAACAAATTTCACATATATCTAGATTTCCGAATATTTATAAATCTGTATAACTAAATAATACTCCCTCCGTCCCAAAAAATTGTTCCCGCATTGGCTTGAATCGGAGTTTAAAAAAGTGGGGATAAAGTGAAAATGTATGGTTGTGATTGAGTAAGAAAAAAGTAAATGAATATGAGCCACACAAAACTTTCCAAAAGGAGAAAGTGGAACAATTTTTTGGGACGGCCCAAAAAAGAAACCGGGAACAATTTTGTGGGACGGAGGGAGTAAGAAAGAGTTAAAACAATATTTAGCATTGATTGTCGAGTTTGAACTTGCTCCCTCTCCCTTGTGAATTTGTGATAATTGCTTTGGAGCAGTCAATGGAGGCAGGTGATGATATTAAACGATGGTACTAAAGTAAGATAAGGATACTACTTTTACCAAATAAGGAAATATGACTTCATTTAGTGATTTTATTAGTCACACACAAAACGGGAACACTATTTAGAATAGAGTATAAATTTTGTCCTTGAATGTTTTTCATTCCAAATTTTCTCCTTTTCTCTCACTATTTTCTTTCTGTAGTACTTCTCCGCAATCCAAAGAGACCTTAGAAAATGGGACGACCTTGCTAGATCTTTTAAAGGAAGGAAGAAACGCATACATGAGATCAATTAACCTACATGAAAAATATGGTACTGACTTATTACTCAAGTAACAACACTTACATCCGCCGCTAGCTCCTTTGGTCCGAGCATCAATGTCAGCACCATGTTCAAGCAATTTGTCCATAACTTTGACATGGCCACCCTTAGCAGCAAGATGAAGAGGTGTCACACCCGGTGCTTTTGGACCCCATGCGGCCACATTTGCGTCAATGCCTTCATCAAGAAGTCGCCTCACCTGACGAAAACATCACACCAAGCAACTTGCAATTCTGAATCCAAAATTAATTGCACATTTTGCGAAAAACTCGTGAAATGGATGTCATTTGAAGAATTTAATGCACAATTTGGACTCTAGTAATATCCCAAATTTAGCCCATACTAACTCTTTCCGCATAAAAACGCATTGGTTCCTTGAAAAGAAATGAGATGCATTTAATATTAACTTTATATGGACAGAAGGGTCATTTGCAAGCTCTGATAACGCATGCACCTTTGAACTGTCAATTGATTTAAAAGTGAGTGAGAATAAAAACAACAGAAATAAACTCCAATCACATTATTCCTCCATATTATATTGTTCATGTGATATAACCACATATACTTATCACAAGTTTAGTAATAAAAAGCAAGTCTGATGCGCGACCGACACAACGCCGATGCACAACTTGGCACAAGGAGCAGATAGATGATAATAAAAATCGAAACAGATACCAACAGGCATGCGTACACCAAAATTAGCCTTTTCGGGCATTAGGAAGCAGCCGCCTTAATCACCTCTTGGGTTTCCTAGGTTTAGACGCATGATGACCACCAATATCACTTAGTCACATCACATGACATGAGTCAAAATATGAATATCTCTATAGTTGGATCATCACCCAGAAGGATGCGTCGTCCCTCCACATGGGGATAATATCGAATATGAGAGGTGTAATGATAAGAATGCTAGATTGTTGCCCCGAAGTGGCGCATTACACTCATAGGCCTAAGTGTGGTGATAAGAGCGCAAAGTTTGCTTAGTCATCGCCTGAAAGCAGCGCAGTACCTCAATACTCGAGTATGGTATCAATATGCAAGGGTTTCTTAGGTTTAGGCGCATGCAAGGTAGTCAAAGTCGAAAGGCGCACCTGAAGCGCTAGGGGTCTTCTAGCGCCTGAGGCGCAAGGCGCAAAAAAGCGCTCGCCTGACTCGGGTGAAGCGCATTACTTAGATAAAATCACATATACTATTCTATACTTACCAAATATGATGTATGTAACATCATATTGAACCAAATGCATATAAAATTCAGGATTCACCAAAACAAAGTCATGATTCACAAAAAAAAAACACCAAATTCAGAATTCAAGGCTCTAATACTAAAACTAGAAATGAAAGACAATCAAATTGGAGCCTATTTCCCCTTGTTAAACTTGTGAGCCTACATAGTACTATTACTTTATTAATAACATAGCAATATACTAATGTTGTGAGTAACATAACGTTAGTGAGTATTATGAATTTATGACTGTTATATACAGTACAAAGCAATATACTAATGTTGTGGGTGATATAGAGTGATACTGAGTACTATTACTTTGTTATATACATAACAATATACTAGTGCTGTGAGTAATATAGAGTAATGCAGAGTATTAATACATTATTATGAGTAATATAAAGTATTATATACATAGTAATATACTAGTTCTTTATTATATACATAGAAATATACTATAAGAGCACATATCTTGTTTAGTGGTGTGAGGGAGAACTGAGTTTGCTTAAGATGATGAAGAAAACAGAAAGAACTGGCTGGTGTAGAGCAACTTTAGTGAGAAGAGTGAGTACGCTGAAGAGCCGATGATGGCTAGCGATATAACTTTAAGGTTTTACACAAGGTTTTACGTTTTTACCTACTTTACTTAAAGGTTTTACGTAGGTTTAAATGGTTTTACCATATTATTTAGATGGGCTGAGTGTTATTAAAGATATGGGCTAATTATTTTTTAAAGTTTTAAACCAAAAATAAGGCTTGTCAGCCTTCTCCAGATCAGGCGACCCACGCGTGCGCCTTTTCCGCTTCAGCGCTTCATGCGCTTAATGCGCTTATGCTGCGCCTGACCCAGGTACGTGCGCCTCTCCTTCTCCCAAGCGCTGAAGGCCCTGCTCGCTGCGCCTGGTGCGCTTAAGCGCTGGGGCGAGCGCTTTTGACTACCTTGGGCGCATGATGACCACCAATATCACTTAGTCACATCACATGACGTGAGTCAAAATATGAATATCTCTATAGCTGGATCATCGCCCAAAAGGATGCGTCGTCCCTCCACCTGGGGATAATATCGAATATGAGAGGTGTAATGATAAGAATGCTAAGGTTGCTAGATAGTTGCCCTGAAGTGGCGCATTACACTTCATAGGCCTAAGTGTGGTGATAAGAGCGCAAAGTTTGCTTAGTCATCGCCCGAAAGCAGCGCAGTACCTCAATACTCGAGTATGGTATCAATATGCAAGGGCATGATGGAGGTCGAGGTGGTAATAAGAATAGAGGGTAGAATTCTAGATTGTGCTTTGGGACATGGAACATTAGGTCTCTACGAAAAGATCATCTAAGGTAGTCAATGTTATAATGAGAAGGAATATCGAGATTATGTGAGTGCAAACACTAAGTGAGTTGGAGAGAAGGCATCCCTTGGAGGTTTGAAGTTGTGATATTCGCGAAGTGAGAAGACTACAAATGGAGTAGATGTATTGTGGCGTGTGACTATCGGTTGGGTTATCAAAGAGCAAAATTGATTGAACACTTAAGTGATGTTTACTTTTTTCTATCAAGTCCTGTCCGAATTAAGATGTCTGTCTATATTAAGGAGTATGTCTGGATTAAGTGATGTTTGTCTATGAAGTTGTTTATTTTGTGTGTTGAATAAACCATCTGAATAGAGTAAATTAATCAATTTAATATTAGTATTAAGTTATATTGACAATGAATAATCTCATTTATTAACAAATATATATATATATATATACATACATACATACATATATATATATATATATATTCCATATTAGGTATAAAAACCTGACTGAACAGAGGCCTTAATGGGAATAAGTCGTGTTTTCAATTAAGTCGTAAGTAAACATGACTCAATGACTGAACGATTAAATTGCCTTTCTCATCAAGTACATTACGTCATAAGTAAACAGCCCCTACAAGGCTCTGTCAAGGGCTAGTCTTCTTGTGATGACCCTTACAGAAATCAATAAATTTACATCATTTTTGTGAGCTACTACAAAAATCGTCCATTACAAATGAACTACACCAGAAATTATTTGTTACTCCTTCCATCCTGCTGGATGGTTCCCGTGAGTAAATGGCACAATTTTTTAGGAAAGTGATTAAGTAAAGTAATTTGGGTAAAAAAGAGAGATAAGTTGGGGGAGGAGAAATTGTGAGACTTGACATGTAATGAGTAGGTAAGAAAAAGTTGAGTAAAGGTTTAATTAAAGAGAGTAATTATTTCCTAAATGAAATGAGAACCTTAATATATATATACATACATACATATACAAGAATGATCAGGTCCGCACGTTCGGACAGAACCCTTCGTCCGAACATCCTCGTTTGGGGACCTTCCCGGTGGAATTTTTTGAGCATGTTCTTCATCAAGTCTAGTTTGTCCATACCAAATTTCAGCTCAAAATTCGATCAGGAAGGCATTCAAATCATTTTTTGAAGTTGACTGCGTCAAAATATACATATAAAAACGCAGTCAACTTCAAAAAATGATTTGAATGCCTTCCCGATCGAATTTTGAGCTGAAATTTGGTATGGACAAACTAGACTTGATGAAGAACATGCTCAAAAAAATTCATCAAAAAATTCCACCGGGAAGTGGCCCAAACGTCCATGTTCGGACGGGGAATGTTCGGACCTGAACATTCCTCTATACATACATACATATATATATATACAGGAATGATCATGTCCAGCCGGAGGGACAGGATTTGCCGTCCGGCCGCCACCGTTTGGGGCGGTTCCCGGTGGAATTTTTTGATGAAATTTTTTGGAAATGTTCCTCATCAAGTCTAGTTTCTACACAAAAAAATTCAGCTAAAATTTGACCGGGAAGGCAGTCAAATAAATTTTTGATGTTAACTGCGCAAAATTATACTTATAAAACGCAGTTATATTCCAAAAATTATTTGACTGCTTTCCCGATCGAATTTTTAGCTGAATATTTTTGTGGATAAACTAGACTTGATGAGGAGCATGCTCACAAAATTTCATAAAAAACTCCACCGGGAACCATCCCATACGGCGGCGGCTAGACGGCTCTCCTGTCCATCCGGATGGACAGGATCTTTTTCCTGTATATATATATATAGAGAGTAATGATCCGGTCAGGAGTTCTTGACCGGAACCGCTGTCCGGACCGCGGCGTTTGGCCGCCTTCCCGGTGGCTTTTTTTGATGAAATTTTTATGACATGTTCTCCATCAAGTCTAGTTTATCCACAAAAAAATTCAGCCAAAAACTCAATCGGGAAGGTCGTCAAATGATTTTTGCAAGTTAACTGGTCCGGAAAATACATATTTTGGACCAGTTAACTTGCAAAAATTATTTGACGACCTTCCCGATTGAGTTTTTGGCTGAATTTTTTTGTGGATAACTAGACTTGATGGAGAACATGTGATAAAAATTTCATCAAAAAATTCCACCCGAAAGGCGGCCAAACGCCGCGGTCCGGACGGCGGTTCCGGTCAGGAACTCCTGACCTGAACATTTGTGTGTGTGTGTGTATATATATATATATATTTGGTAAAACATGATATTACATTTTTATATGTCTGAAGTTACATTTGATAATACATGGAATTGCATCTTCTTATACACGATTTACATCTTCTTACGCGCGAGTTACATTTTTTAGGTGTGGGCAAAAATACCGAACCGGCATGCTACCGAACCGGGCCGATATGGTACCGTACCGAATAACGGGGTTCCAAATGGTTCTCGAATTTTTTGTCCCGAACCGGACCGTACCGGTTCCAAACCATGCCATGACCGGTTCTCGTAAAATGAGAACCGGTACCGGACCGAACCGGACCGAATTAGTATTTATATAATTAATACTCCCTCCGTCCCGTAATTAAGTTCCTACTTTCCTTTTTGGGATGTGTTGGATAATTGATACCCATAATCTATACTAAAGAGAGTTTGAACAAGAATGGAGAAGAAATAATGAAAGTGTATAGAATGAATGAATATTGGTTGTATGAGTTGTGAATAGAAGATAAGATGAGGAATGAGACAATCAGATAAAGGGGGGGAAGCGCACCTATTGAAGATAAGATGCGAAATTCTTGATTGTGGTGGTTTAGCCATGTGCATAGAAGAGGCGGGGAGAGGCAGAAATAAACTCAAACAGAGTAACAGACATGGATTAGAGGAGTAATGAGTGATATGCCACTTTTTGGGTTGGATGAGAATCATGAGTATGACTTTGAAGAGCAAGTGTAAGAAGAATATTTTGGTGGAGGATTGATCTCATTTCATCTTTTTTTTCTTTCGTATATTCTTTTTTTTTAATCTATTTTTGGCTTATCGTTTTTACCTTTTTATCTTATCTTTTTTATTTTTATATATCCTATCTTATATTTATCTTATCTTACATAATTCTAACTCCGTATCTTACATCTGTATCTTATCTTATCTTTTTCATTTTATCTAATCTGTTTTTGTATTTTTTTTTATCTTTGTTGCTCTGATTTCATGCGTCGATTCATGTTAACCGACCTCAAACTCTTTTGGGGCTAAGACACGAATGTTGTTGTATACAGTATTATACATATATGGATCTAGACTTATCAGTTGTGTATTCCCTAGACTCCATAATGATTCTAACTCTCCTATCTCACAAAATCAAACTCTTGAGGTTCTCATCTCTTCATAAAGTCACAGAATTGCTCTCAGTATTTGATGCAAGTTATTTCCGTTCTCCTCTTCTTCTTCTCTTAATCTCTTTCTATTTTCCCTGTGCTTCATTCTGCTAAGCCGTATGAACTTCTGCTCTAAGCCTCTATCTTGCCTCCTGCTTTTCTGCTCCCATCAGAGTGACATACCATTATAACAGTTTCATACTTTCAATGCTTCTGCTCTTCCGATCTTTTAACAGATTTTAATGATTATAGTTTGTGTATATAGTTTACATGCCTGTTCAGTAATGCTTTAGGTTTATGTAAGACTGTGTCTGTATGACTCGTATGCCTAACATTGGGTTACTGTTTTTAAGGCTATGGACGTAATACTGTATATTATAGTTTGTTTTAAATGTTTGGGTAGTTTTCTCGTGTAAAGTGGCAGCTAATTAGCAAATAGAAAAACGTTAAATGCAGCATCTGAGTAAATCAGCATCTGAGTAAATCATTGACACGTAGACACAATACAAAAAGTTAAACGCAACATCTATTCACCGTTTGTTAATATGGCTCCAACATGGCTACAACAACAACATCCAAGCCTTATTCCCAAAAGATTTTGGGGTCGGCTCCAACATGGCTCTTGACTTTTATTATTGATGTTTAATGCCTTACGGTATTTTCATCCTTTTTTTGGGTACACCGTACGCAATACCATGGATTAGGTAGTATAAACATCATGCACAGGTAGTATGAGTTTTTTAGCAAAGCTGTAGGCCTGTGTTATGTGAGGCACGCCTCGGCTATATTTACCAAAAACGCCTCATGCCGCCTTGCGCCTTTTAATACTAAGATCACAGGGCATACATGGTTATATGCACTACTCATTAAGAGCTAAGCATAGCCCGTCAGAAAAAACAAAACTTTAAAGGCTTAACATCTTGTTTCTTCTATACGGCTATACAAAGTTGGGGGCAAATTCCCTACCCCATCTTATAGATAGGTGAGTTTGTAAACAGTACTTTGAACGAAAAACACCATGATTACTGTATTACGAGAGTCTTTTTGGTATCACTGTGGCCTAATATATTTAGGAAAATGCAGATAGCCAGCAACCCAATACTTGCATATTACAAGTAAATATTGACTAAAATTCAATAAAAATAAGACTAAAAAATTGATATATACTTGTGTGGGAGAAAAACGAATAATACCTCTTTAAGGTCACCTTTCAGAGCAACAATATGTAGTGGAGTCCATCCTCTGTCATCTCTATCGCTAGCAGTCATAAGCAACCTTTTAGACCGCCTGCTCAAACCTAACTGGTCTGCGAGCATAGTCTACTGAAAGTAATCTGAAGACTGGGATCGACTGTTCAAGAACAAAACTATTTTGTTGTTTAGAGAAGGGGTAAAAGAAATTGCTACCTTTTCTTGAGTTTGGTTTAATATAACTGATGAATCTATGAAAGGGGAAGACTTTGGTTTCAATTGAAACCCAGCAGAAACCTATGAATTCCTTCAGCTTGGGAAGAAAAGTTTTTCCGACAAGACCAGACCAGAAACAGAAGAAAAACAAGGGTGGGTTGATTTCCATTCAATTACATGATCAAACGAAGGAAAGGAAAAAAAGCAACAAAGCAACGTTGATTAGAAGAAGAAAGGTGGCTTAGCGAGAGCATGAATGATTGGCTAGGTTATAGGGAGCGAAAGGATTTAGACCTGGACCGAAAGCGCGGAGGTTAGTTGAAGCAAGCACGTTCACCGGAGACGATGAAGTGAGTCGGAGGAGAAAAGAGAGAATCATTATAATGGATCCTCAACACCAAAATTTATTTAGAATAGTATGGGACGTTATAAGAATCCCACTGTGTTCAAACGTAGTCTGAAGGTTTCATAAATTCGCAAGACTATAGTTCTGGGATTGAGAAAGAGATTCAGGCGGACAGGCACAAGAAAACCTAGAATGTCGAGGACTCCCGGGACGGATTGGGACAAAGCATTTGTCAGGGACATTTACCTGAATAAATAAAGGTTGAGAAAAGAGGGAATTCTCTTTGTAAAAATATTTTGAAATTTCAAAATAGGAGTATTATATTTTTTATTTGCTGAATATGAGTAAATTTCTGTCAAATTTGGCATTACAAGGTGATGCACAGTGTACCCGGGGTAGCTTATCCGAGGGGTTATTATGAGAATAACCTAGAGAGAAGTCAGAGCAAACGAGTAGGAGAGAGAGGAGATTGTATTAATAACTCGAGATGTGTTGGGATGGGATCCTTTACAAGAGGAATAAGGGCTGCTATTTATAGCAGCCATAAGAGCGATGAGAGTACACGTGTCAACAATCTGATGGCCGAGGGGTCACCTCAATCGGGGTGGCACCGACACTCGCATGTGCACCGCATTAAATGCGGTGGGTGGATGTGACGCCGCATTGAATGCGGTGGTTGCTTGTCTCCAGAGGAAGCTTCGTAGAGCGTAGACCCTTCGGCCTGGATCATATGGCCGAAGGCTTCATGTATGACCAAAGGCTTCATGTGTGGCCGAAGGCTTCATGCATGGCTGAAGGCTCCATGTGTGACCGAAGGCTTCATGTGTGGCCGAAGGCTCCATGTACGGCCGAAGGCTTCATGTACGGCCGAAGGCTTCATGTATGGCCGAAGGCTTCATGTATGGCTGAAGGCTTCATGTACGGCCAAAGGCTTCATGTATGGCCGAAGGCTCCATGTATGGCCGAAGGCTTCATGTATGGCCCGAGAGCTTCCTTGATGTCGAGGGCTCCCTAGTGCCGAAGACTCCTGTTTTCTGTTATTTTCTCCCAGTATCTTCGTATGCCCAAAAATGCCTGTTCTGTGAGTTTCGGAGCCTTCGGCCAAGGAGACCGAAGGCACCCCCGTGTGCTTTGTGGGCTTCTTGATACTTGGGCCGCCGAATATTGGGTCTCCTAAGCTCCTTGGGCTTGCTGGGCCTGTGATAGATTAGTAGGAGTCTGTGGGCCGGGGGTTCCCGGGCCATATACTCCATCACAAGGCTTTAAAACATGGCTGACTAGGGCTTCGTCGCACACAACAAAAAACAGCGTCGAGCCCAATCCTCCCTCTGGATTCTTTGCGTCGATCTCCCCTAACACCCCAAATCCAAACCCAAACAAACTTGCAAAGCAAAACTAAACGAAAGGAATCTGCCGAAGCAAACCCCGTTCACCAATCTCCTGCCTAAGCCGATGACGGAAATCAGAAAACTACTCTAGGAAGCCCCTGCGGCAACCCTAGAGAGAAGCTGGACGTCCGCATAAAACTACTTGTAACTTGTATTATAGTGGCATATTTAGCAGTGTAGTTACATTCCAGATGGTAAAAGAAAGCCCTCATGGCATTTTGAAGTAAAATTATACCCTTTCAAATGAAGAGGATAGACATGCGCATAAGATGGTACAATTGGGTGTTGTAAGAGTAACATTCACAAAGGCAGATCCTATGTCTTTATGCAAAGGGAACATTCAGCAACATATATACCATAATACATGAAATAAAGTATCTTATCAACCATACATGAACTTATTACAGAGTAATACATGAATAAACAATGCAATGCCATTTATACATGAACTCAATACATGAATAAACCATGCCATGTCATTTATAAACAAAACAGAGCAATCTTGCTAACATATAAGAACTTATATCATAAATTCACAACATTAGAGGTTAATACTCATTGTTAATGAGGTTACAAAATTCAAAGAACCGTTATAACCACTAAATTAGCAGCCCAAAAAGCACAAATGTTGTTTATAGTGTCAGAAGTAGTAAAACTTCATACAAAAAAGTTAATGCTGCCAGTGAGCGTATACAAAAATTGACAACTTAAGTTATATACTACCTCTGTCCCGCTAAGATTGTCCCATTTTATCTTTTCGGTCCGTCCCACTAAGATTGTCTCATACCAAATTTGGTAAAATTTGTGTGGCTCTAAATCATTCTTACTTTATTCTTACTTTATCAATTCAATATCAACCACATACACCACTTTTTATTAATTTGTGTGCCACTCCCTCTTGTCCCATTGTTAGCGGGACGGAGGGAGTATACAAACTACCCAAAAGTGTTCTAATAAAAGGTATGAGTCTTTAACATGTTCACTTTGCAATGGACCCCGGCCTCCTGATCTGCATCTTCTGTAACAACTGCCTAGATGTGATTGTTTCATTCTCATTCCATTGCAAACCAGGTGGTTGAAAAGGAAGGTTTGGTGGACTTTGCACTTGTGTACCATTACCCTTGAAAGGTATGGTCCTATATGTTGGGACATCCAACGTACTGCTTCTCAGCCCGGGTAGCCCCTCATATTTCTTTTTCACTTGGAATTGCAAATCTGACGGTAACATCAGGGTCATGTGGCATTTAAGGTTGAAAATCAGAAACTATTTCCTTACTACTCATCCCAGTCTATAAGCATCAACAAGTATATGAAGGTAAAATTAGAAATAACAAAACCTATTTCAATACATCAACAAACTAAACCAATTACATAAGACTCAAAACCCATTATACTCGCATTTATAACCTTCTCCCCAGTGTTCACATCAACATAGCACCCAAAGCCTGTCACAGATTGTTTACTCACATTCCTTGTTATTCTTATACATGTGACTTTAGACTTACAGTAGCCCTTTTAACATTGCTGTGTGGATTTGTTGGTGGAGGTGATTCTGTAGTGGTAGGAATTGATGAAAAAGCATCACTAGCAGGTCTCGACATTGTTCTTCTTTGGTCTGTCAGGTAAGTTTGGCACTGGGGGAGGTAAAATAGGTTCATAATCATCAATTTTCATGAAAGCTTTTCCAGATGCAGGTTGCAAAAGCATTTGCATATGTTGCCATATAAGTCTCCCTATGATACCATCTTGAAATGTATGTGATCAGATCTATCTTTCTGCAATACAAAGCGCATATGGCATGTAAGCATGGTATTCCAGTGAGTTGCCATGCTCTGCAAGTTCACATCATCTTATCCAACACAACAATTTTCTTATATGTCCCCTCTCCATTCTCAAACCCCACATCCCCATTAAAAATGATATTGCATCCATTAGTAAACTTCGTGTTGTCTTCACAATACTCCATGCATAAAGGAGACCAATCGTTTATCCACTTGTGATGATTTGTCTTAAAATCTGAAACTCTTTTCATCGCCTTCCCGGAACTATGCATTGAAGGACTTTGTGATGTTATTATCAACCATCCAACATGAACTTCTATTGCTAAAGTATGCTCCGCACCAAGTTTGAACTGAATACTTCAAAAGGTCAGAGGCAACTTCAGTGCTCAATTTTCCAAGCTTTTCCAGATTGATCTGTAGCTCTTCTTCATATGTGCTCTAGGAACATACCCAAAACTTCTGCAGAACTCTTTACCTCTCCACTTTTTTACCAATTATCATACACATGTCGGGCACAGAACCTATGCTCTACATCTGGTATGACATCTTGAACAACATTAATTAACCCTTTTGCATATCAGAAATCAGTGTTAACTGACCACCAGTATTCAGATCTAGTTCCTGAACAAGCCAACTCAAAAACCATCTCCAATTGGACTTATTTTCTTGTCAATTATAGCCCATGATATAGGGACCATCTGCCCATTTCCATCCACCCCACTGCACTCAACAGATTCCCCTTACAAACACCCTTTAGAAAAAAATCGTCCACACCAATGATCCTTCTATATCCAGCCAACCAGTTCTCCCTCAAAGCAGCAAAGCATATAACATTCTCTTAAATACTCTCTTCCTTTCTTTCAATGCTTCATTGCAGAGTTCATTTTTAGTTTTCGAACCTGGATTACTCCTCTTTAATGTGACAACATATGCTTCTAGGTATCCAAACAGCCTAATAACAACCATCCATTTCTTGAATAATCAACCTTTTAGCCCTTTTACATTTATATAATCTAACATTTATCTTCAACTTTTTCTCAGCCTCCTCTTTCATGTCAGCAACCCGCAAGTTAGGATTTCTCTCCAAGTGCCCTTTGAAATAATTTGCTAGCCACTTCTGAGTAGCACTAAGAAAAGAATAGTGTCGGAAACACTTGTGTTCAGTGTTACAAATCTTCACTGTCAGCCCACAGTTCTTTCCATCTTGAAAAATCCATAATCTAAATGGGAAGCCTTCCTCATTCAAACATTTAACGGCCAATATGTCATTCTCATTCGGTTTGATTTTCAGCTTGTAACCATATTTAACCCTATAATTAGCAATTGCGGTCCTAGCATCTTTAGCATCTGCAAAGGTCATCCCATTCATAAAATATTCTGACCCATCTTTGTAAAGTAATTCATTGTACCATCATTATCAGATGATGGATCAGAATTGTTGCTCTCGTCATCTTCTGACCCTCTATTTGATTCTTCATCTGTAAATACCCATTTGGGACACCACTTGTGTTCACTTCAACACTGGTCTCTCACATATGTATTGGCACACTCATCACCCATCCCACCATCATTCTCATCACCATTCTCATGGTTACCAATTTCAGATATTGAAACTTCTATAAGGGGAATCAAAATGGGTTCGTCCCGCATATAGTTCAATAGTATCAATCCAAGAAAATCTCCTAATACGATTTAACATCTCCCTTATAGTGTCATCATCCTGAACTAAGAAAAGCCCATTGCCCAAATCATTTCCATGTTCTAAAACACATAAATTTTTCAGTGTTTTAAACCCCAAACCATCATTGTATTTTCTTGAAATGCCACGATAACACATATAATCAGGGCCAAAACCATAAATTGTATCCACATCCCCATTCACATACAGTAACTTTGGCTTCAGAACCCACCTCCCGCTATGGTTGAATCTGAGATTAGCCAACCCATTCATTGTATCGAACAAAAACAACCCTGAAAGATTATCTGAGACCAGTCGTACGTGTAACACCCCCAAATTTCTCTCCCAAAATAATACTTAGAGAAATAATAAACTTTAT